TTATAAAAACTGCAGTCATGTTGATTTTATGTGTCCAAGCAGTATTTCTGTACCATAATTCTTGCAGGTTCAGTGCTTTGTTTACTCATTGTTGCTCCTGCTTTCTCTGAGCTAATGCTTAAAGCGCTTTCTAAGGGGTAAATAGGTGCCAAATCACAGATTAGCCATGGGGGGGAAATTTGCATGGTATTATGGCACCATGTTTGCATTGTGGTAAGAAGTAAGCTGTGCTGTATCAATCAGTTCTGAGGGCTGTAATACTGGTCTTCTCTAGTTTCTATAATGATTTGTTAAGACATTAGATGACCTTCTGAAAGCTCCACCTTCTGGAAGCAGGTAATTTGTATGAAAACTCCAGTTTTCTGGTTTTTGTAGGTATAGACAGGAGGTGTGATCTGATTATATCAAACAAGACCAAAACTAAAAAATATCCCCTTGCCCTGCTCCAGTACTGACTGAGCGTTTAAACCCTTTTCTCCTGTCTTCCTTTAAAAGTACTGCACCCTGCTCCAGATATTTTGAATGGCTGAAGTTGGAAGTATTAGGGAAGACATTTTAGGTGCTTGCATATTTTCTGAAATTCTGTTCCCACTCTTAGTTTTCCATATTTCACAATATTTCCACTTATTTTCTTTCCTCAAATTGGGTTCTTACCAACATCTTTTTCAATGTGAGCTTCTCAGTCACTTTAGCTCTGTTCTTGGTCCTTCCAACTTGAAGGATGACTGTTCTGGACATTCAGTCTGCTTTCCTTCTCAAAGTTGTAGTCCTTTGTTTATGAGTCTGATAGCCTGGTTCTTATATAGTTAAGATGATTGTGTTTAGCCTGAATTTCTTTGCCAAAGAACATTTATTGGATTTCTCAATAATGAGTATATATTTATGTAGTTAAGAGAACTATTTTTTTTGACAACTAATATAGAAACTTGTTATGTTTATCAGATTCCTTGAATTTCTTCCCAGTTTGGGTTTAATTTTTAGTAAAGTTTATGGGCAGATTAAAAGTGAAAGTAAGGAACTGTGGTAAAAATATGCCAGCAAGAGACAAGAGAATATGTAAAAACATAATGGACCATAAATGATGAGGGAAGTGGTGGATTCTGTGGATGTTGATTTTGGCTTTGTGAAATCCTTGATTTAGTTGGGGATCATGCTTGAAGTTTATATTAGATAAGCTGTGAAAGCTGTCTTGACATTTAGTGCACATGGGCTTTTTGCAGAGACTGACTTTGACCCAGGTGTTTTACCATAGTTATGCTAGATTGCTGATGATCTTGTCTTATTATGTAAAATACTACATTCTACTATTTAGCATGGAAAATAGTCTGGAGGACAGGACAGTGGGCATGAGTTGGAAGATCCCATGTTTTACACTGGAGGAAAATGACTGTGCCTATCATAGAGTTCATAATAGAACAGAGATTATATATTTATGTACCTGTAAAGGTGCCACTCATCTACAGTTGAAGGGTCAGATACTCTTTTAATAGGAGAACTAGCTGCTTTCTAATGTGGGTGTGACTTGGGACAGTTGTGGGTGGTCACTGAGAAGCACTGTGTCTGTGGGTACACAACTGGTTTAGCAGGTATAACACCTTATCTCTTCTACAGCTGGTACTGAGTGAGTGCTGGAAGGGGGAAGTGTGTAAGTTCTTCCATCTCTCTTAGTCCTGGGTATCATGACATCCTCTTCAGAAGCCTGAGTGAAACAAAATGGACACAGAAACTGAGGATTTACAGGGGTTGTCAAAAGCTTCTGTGTAACTTTGTTGCCATGAATCATTTGCCACTGGGTTCATGGAGCAGATCTGAAGCATTTTTATACGTTTACTACTATTGGTTTTATTTAGTATCTATAGTTTTTTCCTTGTTTTCCAGCTTGCATCTGTTGTTTTTTGTTTTCTAAACATAACCCTGAGGTTAAGTGAGTGCCAGAGATACCAGTGAGAAGTTACAGCACTAAATAGTACATTTCCCACAATGCTTATTGTTGCAGTAACAAGGTAGCCAGCACATCTCTAAACTGCTGATAAGAAATTGTAAAAAGAAGCTAAAGGTCTACAGTAGCTAAAAACATGGCTTTGTTTTCATGCTAGTTATGGAGAAATACTTCTGCCCCTCCCCAGTAAATGCTTTTCAGTTAATATGTCACAGATTCTGGCACCATATAGCGTCTTCCATCATTCTGTTTTCACTTCTGTTATAAGACTTGTTGTAGAAAATAATTTTGTAGTCCTTTCATTTTTGAAAAAAAATTGACTCTAAAATGTATGCCACTTCGTGGCTAACAAATACTGTGCCTTGACACAAAAGCCATGCAAAGACATGTCACCACTCTCAAAAGGTTAATTGACATTTCAAGCTACTGAATGTCTTCTAAGTAAACATAACCATAACCAAATATGTGTGACATTTTTCTTTCAAGAAAATAGACCGTTTTTAAGCCTTAGGCAGTATGTAATTTATTAATCAAAACTTGTTCTCATACAACTGTGTTTAAAACAGAAAAGAGACATGAATTGTACAGGAAAACAAGTAATTTTAAGGTAAAGCAATATAAAACAAGAGTTATGGCTGCTGTTCAGCTATAAACTCAGGCCGCTGTGCTGCCACGTAGATTGTATTTGTTCTGAGCCCTCTATGATGTTCTGGGATGGATGTGTATTAGAAGTGAAAAAGAAGGCACAAATTTTAATTTATTTATTTTTGATGGTTTGTTCTTCATGCTACAACATTAAGAACATGCTACATAGAGTACACTATTTAACAACTTCAGAAAAGTCTTAGAAGTCAGACTTTCTGGGATTTTTTTTTTGTCTCTAGTGGCATTGTTTTATAATGCAGAAAAAGCTGCTAACCTGTCTAAGGCTTAGTTTCCATACTGCTGTAATGAACTGTTGAAGTAGCTGATAGGAAGTCCTTTCTAAATAGAGGAGCACAGGGCTGGAACTTGAGAGACTGCAGGACTGAGAGCCTGAGCTTGCTTGCTGTCCCTGTGTTTGACCCTAGTGCCCAGGTGGTATAGGTGGTACTGTTTCTGGTTGCCTGCTTTGGGCTGCTCCCACCATAACTCAGGACTTGAGTCCTTTTCTGTTGACTGTTACCAATTTCTTTTACTGAACTAAACTTTTTCTCTTGATAAAAAAACGAGAATAAGGTAGTATCTTCATGTTCCTGAGAGAACCGGAGTTAATTTCTTTACTAAATTTTATTGAAGTTTGTGGAGAGAAAAATGTTTCTAGCTGTATCATTCTGGTATAATTATCTGGAAAATATTGACCAGCACAGGGGCTTAGCAGAGTTGTCCATTAGTGTCATTGACTTGAACATGTACACAGAATCCACTTTGTAGTGTTCTTTACTTTTGTGTGAGAAGGGCAATGCGCTGGTATTTTTACCAACCAAGATGTAATCGAGTTAGAGGAAATCAAAGCATAATTATGATTAAAAATTCATCTGCTTTTATAATTTATAAAACTTTTCTTTAAAGCCTCTAATTCATAGGCTGTGAGCATACTGTTACTAAAGCTATGCCTACCACAAAATGAGCTAGACCAGACTTAACGCATCTTCACCAAGTCTCTTTGTGTTGTCTGCATGCTTTCATCGATTTGATTAAAATGTAAACTTACTTGTTTTTATCACAGATTGAAGCCCTAATCGATTGCAGAGCAGCTGACATACTGCAGGCTGACCTGCTGAAGTTCTTCCTCTGTCCTGTTTCTGTACTTAAAGTCAGTCTGACACTGTCTCTTTCCCTTAACTTTGGTCTTGGCTAAACTCCATAGCCCTCTTGGACTGGCAGTGGTGGTTAATGTCATGATAATTTTCCTTTTGTTTTGCTTAGTCATGTGGCTTTCAGTGTTTGTTACATAGTTATGATGACATAGTTATAGTATTGATGTAGCATACAAAGAAATGTAATATAACGCACATTAATGTGTAAATGTAAATGGCATAGCTGCAATAAATTTTGGATGTTCTGTCTTGAAGCTGTGCCCATGGAGGATGTTTTTGCAACCCTTTGTTATCTTTCATCTAGAGATTACTGTCACTGTAGGATGCAGGGCATGTATTGCTGTTCACAGTACAGGGCCTCTGGCATGGCTTTATTCTGTTAGTGATTTTATCTGAACTGTCGGACTGGTAAGAGATTAACTGAGATGTGCCACATTTCTGCTTTTACCAAGTCAGCCACAATATTTACTAGTGGAGGGGAGACTTTAGATTAAAAAGAACTTGTGTGTACATTATCTTTCCAGATGGTAAGACTTTGTATTTTCACTTCTCTTTATTCAGGAAGGCCAGATAGGTTATTTAGTGAAAGTCTTGTAGTTCTGTTCTTGTGTGCTCCATTTATGTGTGAGGTATACCTCGATGATGTTTGAATATAATTTTTTATTGATGATTAAAAAGCAATTTAAAATGTGTTTTTTTATAACTTTCTATTAAAAATTCTGTTGCTCACATGCTTAGCTGGTTTTTGGCATTTCAGCAGTAGTGATTCAAAAAGCAGAACAGAATTATTTTTGTCATTAACATCTGTATATGGTACAACACACATGAGTAGATTTGTTGATTAAGAAATTACCATTTTTAACTGGTTTACTATTTATTGGTTATTTTTTTCTTTTTCCTAAAAGAAAAATAAATATGAAACTAAATTAAATCTGCAACTTTTCTGATAAACTTCCACAAGGGGAGGAAACTACCTTATTCTGGATCCTTAGTTGTGTTCTATGAATTGGTTCCATCAGATCTGAGGCATAGGAGGGTGCTTTATATCGAGTAGTCATAGGCAGTTTGAATGGTAACTTTGAAAAGAGAGAAGCAAATCTGTCTTGGAGTCCAGGAGAATCTGTGGAATATGCATAGTATACAAGTACTTAACATTTGTAAAGCCTGACACAATGTTCACTGGTACATACCACTGGCAGTATTGCAAATTGACTTCAGTGCTTCTGTGCCATTTGATTGTACTCTAAATTTGTGTTTTATAGCTTGAGACAATTGGATGGCAGCTTAATCTTCAAATGGCAGAGTCCAAGCAAGCAAAGCTGAAGTCTCCTCAAGCTGTGCTAGAGCTGGGAGTGAGCAATGAAGATTCAAAGGTAAGAAGTACCTTGGACAGAGTTGGAATGAGTTGTGTTGATGACTTTATGTTAAAGTTCTGAAGCATCTGTTGGAACTCTTGATTGTTGTTAGTTTCGTGGATGTTTTCAGTTTTACATTTCACGAAGGTTATAGTAAACACTTGAAATTGTGGAGTACTGATATAATAGCATACATATTCAGCAGACTGAGATCCATGTTACCAGCACCTTGGGCTGTAACAGGAGAAATACCATGGAATATGGTTATTTTAGGTCTTTACAATATCTTTGTAGATAATTTATTTTTATCACATAGCATGTGATTGGTACTTCTTGCTTTTAATACCTAGCAGCTTGCAGCCTTCTGCCATGTGTGTAGTTATGTAAGACATTACTCATCACTTGCAACCTTTCTGTGCTAATTATGTATTATATGAATGATTACTTCATATGTGAGGCCACAGAAGGCCAGTATTTGGTGGTTTTAAGGTAGAGTCTTAAGTTCAAGAATTTTAGCAGCTGGAGGTGTTTCAGTGCCAAACTCTTTAATAATTTTTTATTCACAAAGTTGGTTTCTTTTTGTTAGCCAGAGTGTTTCAAATTAGACACGATTTGCTTTTAACCTTATCTTGCTAATGGAAATTGGAGTCTTTTCTTCCGTAGTGTCTGTCAGAATGTTTATCTATGGAAAATTCAGTACAAGAAGTTTGAGGGGAGAAATCAGAACTCAGTTCTGCTTTCTGATTTGTGGTGAAATAAAAAGAGAATAAACAGCTTATGTTTGTGCTTCTCAAAAAGACTTGCAACAGTTGTATTTTTTTCAGCATTTGCAATCTGTATTTTTGAAATGCGCATACAGGAACCAGACAAAGTTTACGCCCAAGCTGCATTGGGCAGCATTGCATACAGATTCAGTTCTTGTGGCAAAACAATTAAAAAAAATAAAAAGGAAAAAATGTCACTTTTATATGACACAGAAAGTTCTTCTGTTTCCTGTACAAGAAGAATTCAGAAAGTGGATTTTTTTTATTGTTTCCTCTCTTTTTTCTCTTTGTGGGTACGTTTAGATTTCAAGATCGGAATTACTTTGCTATAATTACAAGCCTAGAATAGATTTGTGACTGGCATTTAGGTAGAACGGTGCAATAAGAAAACAGTATAGACACTAAAATTTAAAAATCTGATGTGACGATAACTACAGGCTTTTTTCTGAATAGTTATATCCTAGTAAATAAGATTGACTAATATCTATTTATATACTAACAAAAGTGGGAACATAATTTTTCTGTTGTACATTGCATGTTCATGATCTCTTGGTGCACTAAGTATTGTTACCTGAAAATCATCACTACTAGGTACTTTTTTTTTCTCCTCAAAATTATGTGTGTGCCTTTTGCACAGAAATGTGATGTGAATTTAATTTATATGTTCTTAATGGTTGTCTTAATTTGTCACTTTTTTTTTTCATGACTCATGGGTGTAATGAAGTTATCTTAGGAAAGACAAAAAATGCCGTTACCGAGGAGCTTTTGTGGGCTGGCTCATTAGGGGGCAGTAGTGCTCTTTATCACGCTGGTTCTTTGCCTTTTTGAGATAATAAGCAATTCTGAAGTCAGTCGTTGTGGGAAGTGTTAAGTGTTTACATTTCTAATCTGTATATGACAATAGAAGTTTCTCTTGCTCATCTACAAAACTAAAGCCTATTAATAAAAAAGCATACTGAGCACGGTAAATGAAATCAGCCATTATTTTCACTTTTACTAACTAAATTTAATTATACATTAATGTTTACTACAACTCATACCACTTAAAGAGCATTTAAATGGCTCATATTCAGAAGCTGACATTTAAAATTAGTATTTAAATTATCTCTCCAGGAGATGTAATCAGAAAACCTTTGGCTATATGGATATTATTTGTGCTTTGTGAAATAAAAAGAAATCTGCTATATGCTAAATAAATATTTATAGAGTATATTTTGTCAGCTTAGATGAAATGCAGAGTCTCAGAGGTATAAGTCCATCGAAGCTCAGAAATAAGGTGTTCTTTGGTTCTTTTAGGTGATTCAAGCTGCTAGTGACATTTACATTAGCCAGAGAATATGCTGCTTGTGGCTAAGTAATAATTGTGATCAGGTGCCATGATTTTTGAGTTTTGCTGGTTTTTGTCACAGATTTGATGTTTGCTTATCCTCAGACCTTGAATTATGCTGGAATTAGCTTCGTGTGGGGGTGGATCGGGTGGGCTGCCAGACCCTGCCTTACAGCCCAACTTGTCCTGTGATCGAGGCTGCTTTGCAGCTTGCTTGTTTCTGATGTTTTCTATGAGGAAGAGGAAAAAGGAGCTTTCAATAAAAAATCCAATTAACAGTGGTTTCTTACAATGATTCATAATTTGAAATGTTTAATTGCACTTCTAATTCCGAGGGAAGTGAAATGTCTGTGAACTGGGCGCACAAACAAACTGGTATAATAGGAAACATATTTTTAAACTGCAAGGTCCTTTTGCTTCTGTTATGACATTTTGATGAGTTTAGATGACATTTAGAATTGATGTCTGCTGTGTTTAAGGTTTGTTTTTAATAATATAATTTGGTTTCAGATTTTTGGACTGTTGATTTGCAACACAACAATCTGGAGATTTTGCACAAACTATCATTATTTTTATGGTTATAGGGTCAATTAACCAGTAGAGGGAGCAGAAATTAATAATCCTGATAATCTGTGCTGCTAATTATGATTTTGATTTGCAAACAAAGACTGTTCACAAAAAGTGCTGTGTTTATTTAATATCTGTTTTCTTCAGTAATTCCTTTGATAGCTATCTACATAGACAGACATTCTCATATTCCTTCCCACTATTAACAGCAGTAATTCCTTAGGTCATCTAGTCCAGACCTTTTTAAACAACTGTGATAATTTTTTATAACCATAGGAGCCATATAAATAAATAAATAAATTTTAGTAAAGAGGGTAGAAAAGGTCAGAGGGCTTCAGAAATGTCGCATCATTGGTGCTGAATATCTTCACAGCGGAATGTGAGGAGTAGGAGTGTGCTCTCGAGGAGTTGCTGCTGTACCTCATCTTTGGGAGGATCCAGTAAGGCACGTTACTATATGAGATATTTATTATTGTGTATTTTCACATGCGTAGTAACCATTTATGCTTGAAAATCATTAGGATAAATAAATTATTCTTGCCAAGTATTGTCTTTTGATAGTTTTCCAATTTTTTTCTGTAAAGTCATTCTATAGATGTCATTGGATTCACTTATCTAATTGCAGTGGAACAAGCTCCACAGAGAAGTGGTCACAGCACCAAGCCTGTCAGAGCTCATGAAGGTTTGGACAACACTCTCAGGCACATGGTGTTTTTCTTGGGGCTTCTTCGAGCTCAGGATATTCTATGATTCTATGAAAATCAAAATGGGGTGCGATTACATATGTAACTGAGATAGTACACATTCATCATTCTACAGAGTAAATAGAAGTTTGGAAATCTGAAATGATTATCTTTCACTTGTTAAAATAACAGGACATGGTTTTCTTTTTTTTCTCCTAGTTTTTATAGACTTTCTATAAATTTCTGGACTGTGAACAAAATCTAAACCTTTTTGCTCTGTTTACTTCAATAAGTATGCCATTCTGCTTTCTGAGTTTGCCACTGTGGTTACTTTTCTCATCTTTAACATCATAGCAAAGTAGATGAGAAACAAGTCTTTTCTTCTAGCAGAGATAGATCTTAATTCAGGCTGTAGATTCTGTTCAGCCCTGTATGCCATGCAGGCAGGACCTGCACTTGGACTGGTATATAACGAAATACAGTGGTGCTTCCCCTTCCACCTCGGTTTAGCCCTTTTTTTCTCTTTGAAAAGAATTTGTGTTTGTTGAGTGGGATAACAGTGAGAGTTGGTGGATGCTAGTGATATGATCCCACTTCTGGGAGGTAGGAGGTGGCAGAAATGAGCATGTACTTCTTTCATTTGCCTTCTCAGTCCTCAGCTTTTGGGATAATGCATTTAGTTGCCTTGGGAGTAATTTGTATCTGTAGGGCCTTGGAAAAAAAAGTACACTTAGTAATGATGCTGAAAGAACTGTGATGAAGTCCAAGCAACTGTGAATTATGTCTCACGTTCCTCAGCTACCTCTTAACCACTTTCTTTTCTGATGAGGACATCGCCCTTTTCTTTCTCAGAACACAAACAAGCTTGGTTGTACACCCATTAACTGAGTTTAGTTTTCTCATCAAGCTTATTTCTAAGTCTCTAGCAATTGCAAAAGAAAAGTAGGACAGGCCTTAGATGAATGCAAAATGTTTAAGGATGAGATGGAGAGAATAGGGTTTTTTCATTCCTATTTGGAGGACTTAATAGGAGGCCTGGATAGCCTCAGACATCAGAGACCTGACTCAAGGTTTTTCTGTACTTCTGAATAGGCAAGGTTCCTGCTTTTGACAAGGCACATCATGAAATTAGTTTTGTTGTGAGAATTAAAATCTTATAAATACTGCTGCTAAGAAAGCAGAAACTTCCCTGAGAGCAGGTTTCAGAATATTGAGAAAGCTCATCATATTTGTAGGAGCTGTATTAAGAATGTATAATCTTGAATGTGTGGAACAACTCAGAAAAATGAGTCTGAAATTTATAACTTGCTTACAGCAGTCACATTGCTACAGAAAGATGACAGAAATTTAATTGCTCTGCCATGAGAGCCAGAAATTCTGGACTTACAGTGCACAGCAATTCTTGCATTAGACTGTTTGGTTTTGATCTATCATAGCTATTACCTCTGATTAAATCCATTTAATTAGAGGAAAAATGCAGTCCAGAATTTTTAAGATGCTGAGAGGACTTTTTTTGTTCTCTTACCAACGTAGAAAGGGGACCGCAGAGTAACCCATGTTCTGTAAGCTGTGAGTAGTTTGACATTTTACTTAGGAACCATTTACCAGATGGTGTGTCTCCAGGAGTATGCACTCACCTCTGGCAATTCTACTGCAGGGTATACTTAATTATCTGAC